CACAACCAACTTAACAAATAGGACAAGAGGACAGTCGTTAAACAGTCATCACACATATAGGACGGTGAAACGGACGGACTTCACATATTCAGTTTGTACATGAACATTTAACATTTATGTATTTTAAATAAAAGTGTATGCTAATTATAAAGTTGAATCAGGTGCGTTTATTTGGAGGATATACTATATATCACACATTGACCGACATTTTCGATCACAAGTCAATAATATGTACCTGAGTCTACAGGTACCTGGGGTTTTGAACAGTTTTGGTTGGATTTGAACAATTTTTTGTAATAATCCCATTATAGAATATCAATTGCTGCTTGATTTTTATACGAAAAAGTAAAAGAATCAAATGGAAATTAAAACTGTGCTATATGGGAAGTAGGCGTGATTATTTTCCGATTTAATTCATTTTCACAATGCGACATAGGAATATGAAAAGAATGCGAAATTTTGTCGAAATCGATCAATCGGGTATCGAGATATGGAATTTCACCAAAACGGGGTCGGTGCCATGCTCATCCTCCAATTTTTAACCCTGCCCTAAAAAATCTCTTGTTATACTAACCTGTCGGCAATTTTTTATGTTTCTGGCGCATTTAGTTATTGATTTGTCGCGCTTTTGGTAGTTTTGAACAATAACGTTACATGGGGAGTAGCGGGGTTTTCAGCCGACTTCAATCATTTTTATACTGTTGCGTCAAGCGACATATCTATATGCAAAACAAAAATAATTAAATGAATTGTAAAATATTGAATTATTAAAAATTAAATTCAGAAAGTCTATTACAAAATACTTACCTTAATATTGCATTCACAATACAAATCTATTACTTACCTTAATATTTAGCATAATCTGTTACAATATTTAAGTTGAAATTATTAAACTTACCCCTTTTCAATACATATTTATATTACCACCAGTTTAAGCCGTTAGTTTTAAGATTTAGGCTTAGCAATTAGATTAAGTGAAATAAAGAACTCTCTTTGAATTGAACCGTGAACYGAACGAACGCTTTCGTTACCGGAGGAATTTATAGCTCCTTTTTTGGCTTTGTTTTTTAAATTTCTCATCCCTAACTAATATTCATATCTCAAAAACGCTTGAGACTTTTCACATACTATCGTTAGTAGTTCTTGTTCCTGCTGGGCGAACTTAGTTGTTGCGGCTTTAGAGGAGAGGCACATTAAACATATTAGGAGCCACTCAATTCTTCGATTTTTTTTTTCCACAGCTGCCCCTTGCTACTGTGATCAAATTAAAGTTTTATATCTTAATTAAGTTATCATACATTATTTTGGTTAATGGTGATTTCTACGAACGTCTACGAACTCGAATCATTTTGTACTAAGGAATCTGTATACACGATATCTACATTTTTACTCAAGTTACAGCTTGTACGGACGCACGGTCGGACGTACAGACAGACAGTTAACCGGGTTTCAAATTTTATCGTTATGCAGATCATTATATTATTATATATATGTATTCTATTACATTATCTCTAACTCGTTCAGTTTTAGGTGATACGTACAACCGTTAGGTGAACAAAACTATAATACTCTGTAGCAACTGGTTGCAAAGGTATACAAACAGAAGAAAATAAGTAAAGAAGGGCTAAGTTCGGGCGCAACTGAACATTTCATACCCTTGTAACTTTCAAGGATCAAAGCCAGCCATTAATTTAATGTGTAAAATCAATCATATAGAGTAAAGTCAGCCGGATGTTCAAAAATCCTGATATTAGTTATATCGGGGCTCAAATTTATCTAATTAAGGCACAAATATACACTGTTATGAATAAAACCCGGTCTCTTATTTTCATTGGGATAACT